GATTTTTCTTTTTACACCAAGATTAGGGCAATTGGATAGGAGAAAAAAGCCACTTTTCCCCCACTATTTTATGAGTAAATGCTAGGAAATGATTAGCAGTTTGATTCATAAAATAATGTTGGATTACTCTTTCCAGCGTGCTCACTGTGCCATCTGTACTGACCGAATATGGGGACTTGGGCGCCAGGGATACAAATGTATCAACTGCAAACTACTAGTTCATAAGAAGTGCCACAAACTTGTTACAATCGAATGTGGGAGGCATTCTTTGCCGCCGGTAAGACACAACTTTCTCTTGTGTTTTTTTTAATAGTGCATATTGAGCAGTTCTACTTAGTCTTGTTGGGTTGCTATGAGTCAAAACTGATTTGATGGCAGTGGATTTATTTTGTTTGTTTGGTTTTTCTTGATATAACTGCTAGAACAAAGATAGGTGCTGAGAAATCACAGTACAACAAATTCATCCCAAAGTTGGGGTAGGAATACTTTTTATGGTTAATATATTATAAATTTGGACTTACTTTATAAATAACTAGGGTGATGCTGGTTTCTAGGATATAATCAATTTCTTTGTTTAACCTGTTATAAAATCCTGTGACCTAAATTTAGAAATATGTAATGTGAGCTATATAAGAGCTATTTTTTTCTCTTATTTAAGCTAAAATCATTAGCTTATTGCTTCTATTATTTAGGATCTATTATTTACAGGCAGTCGGAAGTGTCAACTTTGCTATTTAAGTATGCTTAGAGCAGGTCAGGAGGGTTAGCATTTACATTTTAAATTATTGCCTTTATTTTAAATATGTGATTAAAACTCGTTAAAGGAATACAGATGGATAAAGAAAGCATTGAAGTCAAATTTGCTGTAAACCTGAGATGATTTGCCAGTGAATGAATAGCCTTCCAGATCTTGCTGTACAATTGTGTGTGTGCGTGTACACACGCAAATAGGTATATTGCATACATACACACAGTATATATACACATATATATTGACTGCCACCAAATCAACTCTGATTCTTTTTGTTTTGTTTTGTTTTTTTTTGTTTGTTTTTCAACTCTGATTCTTAACAATCCTATAGGACAGGGTAGAACTCCCCTTGTGAGTTTCTGAGACTATAACTCTTCACAGAAGTGAAAGCCTCATCTCTGCTGAGTTTGAGGTTAGCAGTCCAACTTTGTGTGCAAATAATATTTTGGGGAAATCTTTAACCTTATATAAAGGCATATGGAACAGTATAATGAGCCCCCATGTTCTAGTCACCCAGCTCCAACATTGATGAGTTCATGGACAATCTTGTTTCATCTACACTCCACTTACTCTCCCCTCACCTCATATTATTTTGAAGCAGGTATTTTATATTCGTTTTCAGTGTGTACCACTGGATATATTGTACTTATTTTAGTGTGTACCTCTAAAACAGTGGTTCTCAACCTTCCTAATGCCACAACCCTTTAATACAGTTCCTCATGTTGTGGTGACCCCCAAACCATAAAATTATTTTCGTTGCTACTTCATCACTGTAATTTTGCTACTGTTAGGAATTGGGCGACCCCAAAAGTGTTGCGTCCCACAGGTTGAGAACCGCTGCTCTAAAGGATCAACTTAATTCAACTCACTGCCTTGAGTCCATGACGACTCATAGCAGTCAGGACAGGACAGGACAGAATTACCCCTGTGAGTTTCTGTAACTGTAACTGTTTACAGGAATAGAAAGCCCCATCTTTCTCCCTCGAAGCAGCAGGTGGTTTCCAACTGCAGACCTTGCAGATTGCAGCCCAGCTCATAACCACTGTGCCACCAGGACTCCTCCTCTAAAAGATAAAACTCTTTTAAAGTCTAAAAATCAAATTCCCTATATCAAATATTCTTCCAGGCAGTGCTTTAATTTTCAGTTGTCTGCTAAATGTCCTGATTTTGTTTGTGCAGTTTTGATTATGAATTCAGATCCAAATAAAGTTTATATCTTGCAATTAAGTGATATGTCACGTGGATTTTTTTAATCTACTGGTTCCCCTTCATCTTTCGCTTTCTTTTATCCACTTACAATTTAATGGTTTGTCATTTACAGTGGTGCAGATGTTTACTCATCGCTTTCCATGGTGATATCTAAAATATTCTTGTACCGTTTTTCTTTATTCCCTATGTAAGTAGACCAGTGTATCTAGAGGCCTACCCAGATTACAGTTTCGCTTATATATTTTTTGTGAGATCTTTATTGTTTTGAGAATTCAAAGGAGGTGGTGGTAGTCTTTCCATAAGAAGGCGCACTATCTGGACGTACCTCTTTCTTTTACATAGTTTTTAAGCGAAATCATATTTGTATACTATTTTCCAACCCACTTTTCATTCTGACCAATATGTTTTGGTCATTTTTCCATATCAATATAGACTATAGAATATATTTCCTTATTTTTAACATATTTATATTTTATAGGAGAGGGCATCCAAAAATTTATGAAAACATTCCACTATATTTTCATTCTATTTTTCCATGAACTTTCTGAAACCCCTTCATATGTTTATATAAATAAGCCAATTGCTATTGAGTTGATTGTGACTCATGACAACCTATATTTCTCATGATTAATTTGACTAGTTCTTTGTGATTATAGATTTGAGTTGTTCTATAAGTTTTCTTATAAACAAAACCATAAAGGAACTTCTTGGTAAAGAAATATTATTTCCTTGAGCATTAAGAAGTGGAATTATTGAATTAATGAATATACTGTATACACTCGAGTATAAACCGACCTGAGTATCAGCCGAGGCACCTAATTTTATCACAAAAACTGCATTTAAAATGTACAAATGCGCTTTATACAATTGATGTATGTATGGATTGTAATACGAGTTGTATGAGCCCCTAATAAAACAATTACAAAAAAAAAGATTTACAAACATGGAAAAAAATGTGCTGAAAAACTCGGCTTATACATGAGTATATATGGTATGTTTTTATAATAATTTGGATATATCTTTCTAAATTAAGCTAAAGTAATTATAACACATTCATTCATAAGCTCTTTGGGCATAGTGAAAGTGAATTAACATTGGTGCCTCTTTGGTGTTAGAATTATTTGGCTAGTTCATGTACATTTAGTAATGAGCTTATAGTTAGTGGGGAGAAATCCAGTCCTAAGGAAAAAACAGAAGGCCAATATTTGCAAACATAATTTATTCAGGTTACTGTTGACATTGTTGAGAATTCTTAAGTGATGGAATGACTTGTCTAAGTTCGTAGATGTAAAAAGGAAAGAGGGACAGGTTTAGAAATTATACTGATATATTAGAATGAGGGTCAAAAACACTTAAGAATCCTTAAGGCTACGTAGGAGCTTCTCTGTATGACTGTGCTCATTCTTGAACTCTTTCATGCTGGTATTCATTAAACTTGGATCCAAATTAATGAATTAATTAATAAAAGGTTTATTCAAATTAGCATATTTCCTGAACTTATTGGCAGTTAGTTGGGTAAGCCAGTGTCTAGGAGGTATTTTCTTTTAGACTTGGGGGTCACTAACACCCTTGGGGCACCCTGGCGGCACTGTCCGGTAAGCATCGGACTGTTAACTCTGAGGTTCAAACTCCCCTGCTGCTCGAGGAAAACTGAGGCAGCCTGCGTCTGTAAGGATTTACAGCTGTGGAAACGATCGTAGGGCTGCATTGTGTTGGAACACGTTTGGAAAGCTTTCCCAAATTGGGAAACTCACAAAAACTGGCATGTCATTTTCAGAAGTTTTTAATCATCTATCTCTGGACCTCAGGTAAATAATTCATACTCTAGCAAAACCTTTTGCTAGGGACTTAAAGCATGTGGGGCCTGAAGAAAGAATAGGTAATATAGAAGTGAGAGTTTATAGGAATTTCTTTGGGGTATAATTTGATTTCCTTTTGATGGTCTAAAATTACTTTTATGTTTCTTCTAAAATGTGGCTAGCACTACCTCATTAACAAAAATATTGTTTGGTTGTTTTCAATGTGTGCCATTGAGTTGATTCTGACTCACAGTGGCCCTTTGGGACATAGGCGTCCTAGACTGTTGTTACCTTTACCCAAGCAGATCGCCAGATCAGGGGCAGCTGATGCGTTTGAAACACTGAACCCCTGTTTAGCAACCAAGAGTTTAACCAGTATGTCACCAGGGAATGACCACTGTTGGTCTCATATAATGAAATTAAAGAAGGTATTTTTTTCAAGTTTAAATTTTAATATGCTCTGTCTCTTTGCTTCTGGATTTATAAAGCTGCTGGCATTTGAAGAGAATTCACTGCTTTATTTTATCTTTGTAGGAACCAATGCCTCTGGAGCCATCATCCATTCATTCAGACCATGCACAGACTGGTAAGAATGATACTGTCCTGAACAGAGTCACTTCCAAGGCTCCGGGTGGCAGCTCTCTGTTCCTCCCAAATACAAGTAGGGAACCCCGTTTTGTGGAAAAATCAGTCACAACACTAAACACAGAACTAGTTAACTTCTCTACTGAAGATACTTTTCTTTGAAAATCCCTTTAAATTCAGCAAGCCTAGTTTATTTTTTCAATAATGAGAAAATATAAAGTTGATCTCTGGGCCAGGTGTCCTAATATGTTAATGTTCATGTGACCTGCTTTTATTGAATGCTGTACTAAACATTATATAAAAGAAATAAAAATGCAATCTAGAATAAAAATCATTTATCTGACTTAAAATTGTACAAAAATTTAAATATCTCTCTGGAAACGTTGGTAGATCAGTTAAAGAAGACAGCACCCTGGTCAGGACAGAATCAGGAAGGGGAGATGAGGGAGTCTTGCTGAAAGAAGTGGATTGTATGACGCACAGACTTTTCTGCCCTGAGTACCTTTGTCAGTTCTTTATTGTCCTTTGAAGTCGTCGTTTGAGTATGAAAGGAGTGAAAAGTCACCCTAAAATGTATATTTCTTAATTATAATTAAAAGCTTTAAATTATAATTAAATAGTATTTATAGAGTCACCGTTATAGAAGGACGTGTTTAATTAATTTATAAAGAAGGAGATGTCTAAGAAAATAGAAAAAATATTTTCTAAAATCACTACTTGGCTATCAGGCTGATCGTTACTCTTACTCCTGATAAAGATTACATACAGTGTGTTGTTTTCAGAAGAGGCATTTTAATTTTAAATAATGGAGACTTACTCAGAAATAAAACCAGTTAATGAATGCTATGCTTGTTTGTTTGTTTGCCTTCTTTTAAAGTTCTTTTATTTTTAATATTTGGGATTTGATTTGGTTTTTAGTGATTCCATATAATCCGTCAAGTCACGAGAGTTTGGACCAAGTGGGTGAAGAAAAGGAGGTAAGATAATTAATTTTGTTGTACATCGTTATCAGCTTTCAATTTAATTTTTTGTTTAGTTAACATCTTTTTAATAAAGCTTGACAGCTTGAAAATATAAATTGATGCCATAGATCATAATGGTAAAATACAGGTATAATTTTTAATACTGCAGGGCTGTACTCTGATTTAATTATTTAGTTAAATTATTAGTTTCTTTTAAATTAGCACATACTTTTTGTTTTTAATCATTTTATTGGGGGTTCATACAGCTCATACAATATTCCGTACATCAAGCATATTTGTACCCTCCAGTTCCCTTTCCCATCAGATCAGAACACTGGTCTGGGGGGTGGTAAAAGGAGGAAAGGAAACATTGAAGCCGCCGCACAGTGCTCTTGGAGCTCTGGCTAGTTTCAAACGTAAAAAAAACAAGCAGATGTGTGCATATGTTGCCATCATCATTTTCTAAGGATTTGCTTTCTGTTTGAACCCTTAGCATCAGCTTCTCTTTTTCCCTCCCTCTCCCTGCTCCCACCCTCATGACCCCTTGATAAATTATAAACTATTAGCACATAATTTGTTGGGATAATTTATTTGTACTTTTAGATTGCATAATTTAAAAATCATAATTACCTAAGAGTATTGTTTAGAACATTTGGTGATATTCTTAAATTATAGTACATCATAGACCTTTTTGTTTTATGATCTAATTGTTTATTTAAAATATGAATGATTAAACATCTTTAAGTGCCGCTTTCATTTGTGCATTTTATCAGATCTCAAACCATTATTAATTTAAAATGTTTGATTAAAATAATAACCACTTTTCTGAAGAAAGTAGTATTAAAACATTACTGTTTCTCACACCACCTATTCCCAGCTTGCCTTCTCAAAGGTAACTGTAATCAGTTTTAATTGTCTTTGTAATTGAATAATATTTACAACTTTTTCAATTTAAAATTTGTATTTATTTCTAGCCATTAAAGATTTTATTACTGTTGACACAATTGATATATGGAATGTTATAAGAGCTGTAAGAGCCCCCAATAAAATAACTTAAAAAAAAAGATTTCACTACTTATCCCTTTCCTTCTCCCGTCCTCCATGTCTGACAGTTGTATTTTATTGTCTCTTCGCTTCATTGCCTTTTTTTAGGTGGGGGGCACACTCCTTTGTATTGTTGAAAATTCCAGACATAAGTAAAAGAGAAAACTCCTTTAGCGGAAACAGAAACAGAAAATTCCTATATCCTAGTTAAAGCAATAATACATGGCCAGTCTTGCATGCTTCTTGTATACGCATTTCTTTCATTTGTGAGTATCTTGACACAAATTTGATGGTTACCTGTTTAATCTCACATCTTTGCTTCTTGTCCTAGCGATTTTAGTCAATACCTTGATTCCATTTTAGCCACCCCTACTCTTGCAACATTCCTCTTTTACCTACATACTTATTTTCACAATGCAAATATTGTTAAACATACTCTGTCTTGCAAATCTATATTTTGTTCATATGTTGAATGGGTCATTTAAAGGAAGAAAATTGTAATCATATGGAGAATATTCTCTATTGCTAATATTTTCGTCTCATGCTTTTTCATAGCTTTTTGTTCATTTTTTAGTTTCTTGTTGCCTTTTTTTAAAATCAAAGACTTATTTGCATTTATCTCCAAGATTTTAAAATGTATTTTAAAATTAGAAGAATAACTACATAAACAAATGAAGAG